CACCCCTGCTCGGTTCTTTTTCTATAAATACTACAGAGATACTGCTCTGTCTCTATGCACGGAATTAGCGATTTTCAGAAAATTGTTTTTGAAAAATACCTCATACTCCGTTTCACTTACATTAAACTAAGATATTCAGCTAAAATTTTAAAAATTTTTTTTGCAAGCGTATTTATAAAGATATGAGCTTCTTTCCCCACACCGCTAGGCATCTTTTCTTTTCTTGTTGTGTATTGCAATGCATTGTGGGAATTTTCTTCTTTCACTCGGTTTTGAGTCAGCATCTGAAAAATCTATCTTGAGGGCTGAACACCACTACCCCTCGCTGCTAAAAAGAAATGGGACAACACTACCCTACATGGGTACGCGCCAAATGGAGGGATAGGGCTAAGTGGGGGTATTGGGATTGGGCCTAAGGATGAGAAGAGGGATGGAGAAAAGTTTATTGACAAAAATCCATATGAAGTGTTTTAAGTGGCCCACTTGGGGCCTTATCTGTACTGTGCAATGTGCTTGTATGAGTTAGTGTGTGTTTTTCTAACAGTTTGGTAAACTGCATAATTAATTCAGGTTTTCCTTTTATTCTGAAATGCTTCCAGCCACCCCCTTCAAAACCCTCAGGCACAGTGGATCCTTTGTTTTGTCAGTGGTTTAATGAAGAGCGACTTGGAGACCATGCAGTTTCCTTTATTGGGCACTGCTGTACGATATCTATCATGTCCTCCAGCCAGCATGCATCTCTTGGTGTTGCAGGTGTTAAAGGCTCAAAGCTGCAAACTTGCTGATTATAATAGATCTGTTCTTCTGTTGTGTGAGGGTTAGTATCTTCTTTCAATATTTCTAGAGTAGGTAGTGCGACAGGTAGGTTGGGCAAAAAGCATTGTATACCTACAATGCACAGCAGTTAGATTTGAAATCATGTGTACCCTGACAAGGTAAAGTGTGTTTTGGGTGAATGCAGAGGCAGTCCTGAGCCTGATCTTATCTGACCCCTTTGCAGTCACTCTGGAGCTTTTGGTGTTAAGTCTTGTTCAGCTTAATGAGACCTAATGTCTCTTTGGTAGACCTGGGAATGTAAGTGGAGGGGTGAAGGGTGGTGGAGTAAATTGAGACACGGCAAAGGAGTTCCCAAAGGCTCATCCATTATCAGTAGCTGCCCACCAGTATGGTAAATGATTGACTGCCAAGGAGAGAGCCTCCAGAGGATTGAACTTTTGACTAAGCTAGGTACTTGCTCCTATGTACATGTCTGTGTGTGTGATGTATGCGGTACTGGATTGGAGTGACACAAGCATGTGGGACATTTAAAGAGCGAACATGGATTCCAGTTACAGTATTGTACAGCTTCATGAGTGCAGGAATTCAAGTACAATGCAGATTCCCCCCTTGGGAGTTAACCATGTATTTCTTTCATCACAAGATCAGATTCCTTAAACACCTTACCCTGTTAGCAATAACTAGGTAGTATTGTATATGTATGTTTCCTGGGAATTTCAAGCATTTCCGTTAAGAACATAAGAAGATAAGAACATAAGAAATTTACAAACGAGAGGAGCAGGGCTGTGGAGTCGGTAGATAAATGCTCCGACTCCGACTCCTCAGTTTCTAAATCTTCCGACT